TTGTGAATCATTATATATGTAAAAAGCACCTAATTGTACACAAATGATTATTGTGGCATTTCATCAAACACGTGGTGTGCACTATGTGAAAGTATTCCCAAGTTAGTGAAATTAAGTTCCAATTCATCCCAAAATTCACACAACACAATAACAAGAAGTCCATCCCTATATGAACTAGCCCATTCTCCCTCAATTCATGAAAAAGTGAATACCAAGATGACTTACCCAAAATGATGAAGCTGAGAGAAATGTGAGAAGTAATACCTTGTCGTGAGGTGGTTGGTTTGATGTACAGGGTGAATATTTTGGAGTGCAAACGTGACTTGATGTGATGAATTGGTGGATGAAATTATGCCTAGAATGCGTGAAAGAATTGAGGGAAGAAAGGAGAGAACGAAAAAAAAATTGATGATGGGAGAGAGGAACCGGGCGCGATTTAAAAAAAAAACCACACCCGATTCTACCATGCGACCGCATGGCTTTGTTGCCTGCAGTTGCATGATTCAAGTGGCCAAAAAAGCCACTTGAATCTCGGTCGCAATGTGTGCGGTCGCACCATGCGACCACATTATCCAAATTTTTATTTTTACTTATTTTTATTTTTTTTTATTCCCCCAAAAACAAAAGTTTGATTAAATTTCACAATCACGCGTTGACATTTGAAATTTTGAGAATAAACGTTTGTCTCGAAATGCGTGAACATCACACCCAATCACCCATAAACAACTCCAATCAACCCGAACGTATGTGTGATGCTTAGGGACTCGTGTGGATAGCGCTTGGACTCTTTTAACATGTATGAATGATCAATGACCTAATTTAAAAAAATTTTGAAAAATGAAATTGAAAAATTCCTAATATGATGCAAAAGTAAATTAACTTAAAAGGATATAGTGGGTTGCCTCCCACCCGGCGCTAGGTTATAGTCGATAGCTCGACTTTTCTACAGCTGCTTTATTTTGGTGTCCCCAGTTGAACGATGGACTTTTGGTTGGAGAAGTCACCACCACAGTAGTGTTTCAGCCTTTGCCCATTAACAGTGAAGGTACCTTTAGTCTTATGGCTGACTTGTATAACTCTGTATGGTAAGACTTTTGTGACAGTGTAAGGACCCAACCACCGTGAACGTAGTTTTCTTGGGAACAGCTTGAGTCTCGAGTTATACAGTAGCACTTGCTGCCCCACTTCGAATACTCGTCTCTGAGTGTGCATGTCATGCCACTTCTTGGTTCGTTCCTTGTAGAGTTTTGAATTTTCATAAGCTTCCATTTTAAATTCATCTAACTCATTCAATTGCAGCAAACGCTTTTCACCAGGGGCACTCAAGTCCATATTTAACTATTTTATAGCCCATTATGCCCGGTGCTCCATTTCTAGTGGCAGATAGCACGCTTTCCCAAAAATTAGGCGGTATGAGGACATGCCTATCGGTGTCTTGAATGCTGTCATGTAAGCCCACAATGCATCGACTAGCTTTTTAGACCAGTCCTTTCTAGATTAGTTCACTGTGACTTCAAGTATTCTCTTCAACTGCTGATTAGATACTTCAACTTGCCTGCTGGTTTGTGGATGATATGGAGTAGCAACACGATGTTTAACGCCATATTTATTCAACAGCTGCTCAAACTGGCGATTACAGAAGTGTTTGTCCCCGTCACTAATTATAGCTCGCGGTGTACCATATCGGATGAAAATATATTTCTTCAAGAACCTAATTACTGCCTTTGAATCATTTTTTGGCAGTGCAACTGCTTCCACCCATTTTGATACGTAATCCACTGCTACCAAAATGTATTGATTTGAGAACGACGGGGGGAAGGGTCCCATGAAGTCAATTCTCCAAACATCGAATATCTCCACCTCCAAAATATTATTCAATGGCATTTCATTCTTCCTCGAGATGTTTCCATTACGTTGGCATCGGTCACACCTTTTAACAAACTCAAAAGCATCTCTAAACAGTATAGGCCAATAGAACCCTGATTGTAGAATCTTTGCAGCTGTTTTCGAAGCCCCAAAGTGTCCTGCATATGCAGATGAGTGGCAGTACTTGAGAATCTCATGTACTTCTTCCTTAGGTATGCATCTCCTTACTATCTGATCAGCCCCTCGCCTATAGAGAATTGGATCCTCCCAGAAATAATACTTTAATTCAGCGAAGAACTTTTTCCTCTGATGACTTGAGTAGTCCGGTGGTGGGATGGAACTGACCAAGTAATTGACGATATCTGCGTACTAAGGTGCTTCATCCACTCTTAACATCTGCTCATCTGGGAAGATCTCATTTATATCTACTAAATCTTCCGTCTCCCCATGCTCTAATCGGGATAGGTGATCGGCTACTACATTCTAACTGCCCCTCTTGTCTCGTATCTCGATATCAAATTCTTGCAGCAATAGTACCCAATGAATTAATCTCGGCTTTGCATCCTTCTTTGTGAGCAGATAATTCAATGCAGAATGATCAGTGTAGACGATGACTTTAGACCCAACAAGATATGACCTGAATTTGTTGAATGCATATACCACAGCTAATAGCTCCTTTTCAGTGGTGGCATAATTGATTTGCGCATCATTTATAGTCCTACTTGCATAGTAGATCACATGAAAAATCTTGTTCCTCCACTATCCTAATACTGCACCTACGGCATGATCACTTGCATCACACATCAATTCAAAAGGCAGTTCCCAGTCTGGTGCCACAATTACTGGTGCTGTCGTAAGCTTCTCCTTTAAAGTGTTGAATGCTGTGAGGCATTCCTCATTAAAATCAAAGGTTACATCTTTCATTAGCAGATTGCACAACGGTTTAGTGATCTTCGAGAAATCTTTTATAAATTTCCTATAGAACCCCGCATATCCCAAGAAACTGCGAACTCCTTTAACTGATGTAGGTGGTGGTAACTTTTCAATAACTTAAATTTTTACCTTGTCCACCTCAATTCCTTTTGCCGAGATCCGATGCCCGAGTACAATGTCTTCCTGTACCATAAAGTGGCATTTTTCTCAATTTAAAACCAGGTTAGTCTCCTTACATCTTTGTAAGACCAAATTTAGGTGCTCTAGACACTCATCGAATGAAGATCCAAACACTGAGAAGTCATCCATGAAAACTTCAATAAACCTTTCAATCATATCGGAGAATATTGCCATCATACATCTCTAAAATGTGGCTGGAGCATTGAAAAGATCCAAAGGCATCCGACGATAGGCAAAAGTACCATAGGGGTAGGTGAAAGTGGTCTTCTCCTGATCTTCTGGTGCGATAGTGTGAATGTCCAGCCAACCTCTCTAACATCTGATCAATGAATGGGAGGGGACAATGATCCTTTCATATAGCTGTATTGAGTTTGTGATAGTCGATACAAACTCTCCATCCCGTAACTATTCTGGTGGGAATTAATTCATTCTTCTCATTTTTCAACACTGTGATTCCCCCTTTTTTCGGTACCACTTGAACTGGACTGATCCATGCACTATCTGAAATTGGGTAGATAATTCCTGCATCCAATAATTTCAGTATCTCTGCCCTGACCACAACCTTCATGTTCGGATTCAATCTTCTCTGACCCTCTACACTTGGCTTGTAGTTTTCCTCCATTAGAATTTTATGCATACACACAGAAGGGCTGATTCTTTAATGTCAGCTATTGTCCACCCAATCGCCGTCTTGTTCTCTCTAAGTACCCTGAGCAATTTTTCTTCCTCCACCTCACTAACTGTGTTTGAAATGATTACTGCAAGTGTATCTGACTCTCCCTAATATGCATATCTAAGATGTAGCGGTAGTTGCTTGAGTTCTAAAACTGGCGGCTGCTGGATGGAAGACAGTGGCTTCGTATTTCTTTTCCCCAGTTTCTTGAAGTGCCGTTTTCGGGTGTATGGCGGGTTGGTCTCCAAAAACCTTGTACATGTTTCAACTTCAAGAAAACTTGACTGAACTGATTGGGATTGTGCAATGCATGCCTCATATGCATCAAATGGGCCGTGAAGTAGGAATGTTTCCTGTACTGCTTTGTCAATAATGTCAACTTGGTAACAGCTGTCTGATTCTGCTGGCAGTTTTATGGCCTTGAATACATTGAACGATATCTACTCCTCTCCCAATCTTAAGATCAACTGTCCCCTTTGAACGTCAATTAACGCTCTTCCTATTGCTAGGAATGGTCTGCCAAGTATCAATGGAACATCCTTGTCTTCTTTCATGTCAAAGATAAGAAAATCTGCTAGGAATATGAACTTTTCGACTTTGATGAGCACGTCTTCAATTATCCCTCTTGGATGTGTCAGTGACCTGTCTGCCAGCTGAAGTGTCACAGTAGTTGCTTTAACTTCTCCCAAGCCGAGTTTCCTAAAAGCAGACAGAGACATTAAATTAATACTTGCACCAAGGTCACATATGCTTTATCAAAATATACTTCATCGATCATGCAAGGAACAGTAAAACTCCCTGAATCTTTTAGTTTTGGTGGGAGCTTATTCTGGATTCTAGTACTACATTCCTCCGTAAGCATAACTATCTCATGGTTCTCCAGCTTGTGTTTATTTGATATAATATTCTTGAGAAACTTTGCGTAGCTAGGCATCTGAAACAGTGCATCGGCTAGTGGGATGTTGATATGGAGCTTTTTGAAGACTTCTAGGAATTTTTTGTATTGTTGCTCCACTTTTTGCTTCTTCAAGCACTGTGGAAAGGAAATCGAAGGCTCGTATGGGTTGACTGTGACCTTGGCCTTATCCTGTGATTTTTCTGAATTTTCCTTCGGAGTTGATTCCTTCACAGTAGTCTCATCTTCAGCAGGGGAGGATGTCTCTACAGTCATACCTAGTCTCTTGACATGGATTTTCAGTAATTGCACTCCACTTCGAGTTGTAATAGCTTTAGCTTGCTCTTTGGGATTGATTTCTGTATTACTTGGCAAGTTACCTGGCGTTCTGCCAGTCAATGCAATGGCTAGCTGCCCCATCTGAGTTTCCAAATTTTTA